CCCCCCCCCCCCCCCCCAGCTGCAGTCAGGAGCAGAGTTAGCATGGACAGGCACGCTGCATGAAGGCCTGGAAGATGACATGGAGGAAAAATAAAGCGGTGATGGAAACACCAGCTTCTCGGCGTGTAACGAGAGGTTTCCTTTCAGCACGCAGATGATCGACAGACACCGCCGGAGTCGTTCAGGCAGCGATGGACTGACTGTAAAACAGAGACAGCTGCTTCATACCTGATTATATTCAGAGCACGTTTCTTGTAGTTTCTATAAAACCCATGACTCACCAGACGTTAATGAAATGCACTCATCGGCTGTTTCAGTACGATTGCCCTAAACCGTTTTCATGGTTGGTGCAGTTCGGGTGGATAATTTAGTGGTGGCATAACGGCAGGAGGGGTTTAATTGATATCTAATAAATAAATCACAAACGTAAAGCTACTGAGGCAAAATTACAATTATGAATTTTTATTTGAAGTGAAAAAATGTATATAATAAAAGTCTGTTTTCAGCTCCTGGTAGCTTAAACTTTAATTTGGACACAAAATCTCTGAAAAACCACCCCCCCTGACCTGAACCCTTTAAGATCTAGTTAGAATATTTGACTCTCAGCTACTACCACACTGAGTTTTAGTTTGATAAACTAACAAAGACAACTATTACTTGATGTTTGCTTAGGTTAAATAAAGCTCTTTCATGCAAAGACAAAGCCATACGTGAACATCCTCCAGAAAACTCTGGAGGATGAAAACTCTTCCCTGGACCAAAGCTGTTAATGAGCTCTGAGGCAAAGTGGAAAACTGATTTGTGGTTTGATGAATCAATATCTGGACATTTTCGGAGATCACAGATCCTCTGTAATGAACAGGAACCATGCAGTGTGTTATTAGCAAACTGTTAAAAAAAATCCTGCCTCTCTGATGGTATGGAGGTGCACTACTGCCAACAATTCAGATATTAGTCTAGACCAGGGGTGTGCAAACTTCTGCCCCTTCGCTCACTAAACGTGCCCTGAGCCATAAAACCTGCTACGATTGTCGTTTTCAACTGGTGGCCCATGGGCCACTTAAGTTTTTAGAGGGGGCTTTTCTGGCCAGTAGACGTTAAACATCTACTGATTGTTAACATTGATTGATATCTTTACATTTTGAGACAAAAGACTGGATTCCATCCATCCATTATCTTTACTTGTTTCTTCCTTTTCAGGTTGCAGGGGGTCGCCGGTACCCATATCCAGGTCATAAGTCCGTCACAGAAGACTGGGTTCTTTTAAAAAATATTATTTTGCCAATTTTTGAAAAACTAAAACAATGAATTGTGCAGGCTTATACATTTTTTAATTGTGGAGAAATTATCCTACTTTGAAGAAATATAGCATAGTTAAGAGTATAATTTACTGTGTATTAGTACTAGTATCCACATATTTGCAAAGGAAATTACAGAAAAACTGCTAAAACTAGTCATTTTTTGTTGTGGGTGTAATATCCTATAAAATTCAGTTTTGTTATTTTGGTCAAAGCTTGAAAGAGCTGCTGCAGAGGGACCAGAGCCGCATGTGGCTCCAGAGCCGCAGGTTGCAGACCCCTGGTCTAGAAATTTAATATGCATATGGTTTAATGAATTGACAAATAGCATTTGCACTCTTTTATGCAGCATCCAAACATTTTCATTGTTGGAATATGAATCGTATGGATCAAATCAATCTGTAAATGACTGAAAATACTGTAGCGACGTTTTAGCGAGGTCTACAAATGTTTCCTTTGTGCATTCACCATAACTGACGTGCAATTTCTTTTTTTTGTGTCATTATTTTAAGACAGCCTGATGACGACAACGTTGCCAGATCTTTCAAACACCACCTGCCTGAATCACTCACAGGGACCGGAACGTTTCACCTGCTCTTTCGCACCACTAAAATAATTTAGACTGAGAAATTACAAGAAGCTTCCATGCTCTGGTTTCAAGAAAAAACACATCATGTCAATATCATCATAAATAATCAGACTCCATCATGTTTTTGTTTTTTTTCAATCTTTATTTTTCTTTCATCTCCTTCCAAAAACAGCTTTAGAAAAAAACTGTCGTCCAACTCAAGTATAACAACACGAACACAGACGGGGAAATATCAAAAATAAAAAAAGGAATCATAAAAACATGCAGTGTATGACATCAGAGAAACTCCACAAGTCTGAGCTGTGGGTAAAATATCTGAATGTGTGTGTTGATAAGTGTCGGGGAGGAGTGAGGTGCCGCTCTTTACTTCTTGGCAACGGCACCTTCCACATTAACAGGAATAGTGGTCTCAGACGACTCGATGGCCGGCTTGGCGATGGGAGCATCCACAGTCAGAATCCCCTCAGGAGAGAGGGAGGAAGTCACCTTCTCCATGTTGACAGTGGGAGGGAGGCTGGAGGAGCAGAAACACACCATTAGGTCTAAAAGAACATGCATGAACTGTGCTTTGGTTTGTGTTGCTCAGTCATGGCCTTTGGATGGCAGCAGAGACAAGAAACCAGTCAGACAATGAGTGACCACTAGGTGACCAGTTCTGCTGCATCATCAGACAGTTTTTAGCTGGATCACCCCAGAGACAGTCACAAAAGCATACTCATATTATTTGTATACAAGTTCAGTGCTGCTGTTCACAAACCACTGACCTGTATTTCCTGGTGAAGCTTCTGGAAATGAAGCCGTGCTCGTCCTTCCTCTCTTCATGCTTGCCTGTTAAAAAAAAAACAACAAGTTTTAATGTTTAGTTGTGAACAGTGAGAACAGGTCGTGGTGGTTCAGCGGCAGCTCAGCGAGGATCTGCGTTCTTTAAAACAAATGTTTCTTCTGTTCGGTTTCAGAGTCCAACATTCAGGTTTCTGCTTCAGCAAACTAGTTTTTCATGTATTCGCAGAAAAAACAACAAAAAAGTCCAAGTTTGTTATGAATGTTTGTCAGCTACCAGAATAAAGTTTGGCTCAGTTTGTAACATTCATGTTTTCTAAGGTCAGAGGTTATTCACACACCCCATTGGTGTGGGGGCAGGGCCAGCTGCAGCTCTGCAAGGACCACACTGCTGAGGAGACTTGGGTGTGTGCACGATTCCTAATCTAAGCGGTGATGCAGACGGGGGTGAATGAATTCCCCTCAGATCAGATCACGAGCTTGGTTTATCTGTTCCTGAGCTGGTCCGGCCTCTTAACCACAGACACTGGCAGCATTCTGGGCCAACCGTCCAACTGGACCAGATCCAGCTGTCCTTTTAAAGCAGCACTCAGAGAGACTTGTGGCTTCAGATTAAAGGAAACTGTGCAACTTTAACCTTTTAAGCAATAATTTAAATAAACCCCGGTTTTAGCTGCACATGTCTACAAACTGCTTTCATCAATGGACCTTTAACCTTCCTGTGGGGGAGGGGTGTCAGGGGTGAAAGCATGGCAGGACAATGAGATGACTCTACAGTCCAACTCTTGTTAATCTGGTGGGTTTTGGCCAAAAGGCCTCTCCCATCCATCCAGGGAGGGGTACTTTACATCTTGAGACAATGCAGCAGGCATCAACTGCATCTCAACTAGTTACACAACTTATTTGGTCCACCAGTTCAATACTGGTTTATATGAGCAGTTCTTACCGGTTATCTCCAAGATTCCATCCTTGGTCTTCACCACCAGCTCCTCAGGTGAGAAGTGGCTGACGTCCAGGGACACCTTCCAGTTGTCCCCAGTCTGCTTGATCTCTGACATCCCGCTGCTCATCTGGCGGGCCAGGGCCCGGGGGTGGTGGCCCAGTGTGTGGCCGGGGTACAGCATGTGGCTGTGGGGCATCATGATGTCTGGGCCCACGTGGGAGGATCTCAGGTACCCCGGCCAGTGGGTGCTGGGGAATGCGGGGAAATCCTCGAACAGGGCAGGCATGCCGAAGGACTGGTCAAAGATGCGGCTGGCGGGGGGCCAGTCACGGAAGGGGTCCCAGGTCAGGGCCCGGGCCAGAGTGAAGGGGATCTGTCTCTCAGCCATGGTAGCTGTGGTCAGGCAGAAGAAGGCTTGTCCAAAAAAGAAGCAGTAGATTCTTCAATGCTGTGTGTCCTTCAGCACACAGCTTTTATACATGCTGACCCCACCCCCATCAGAACACCCCTCCCAGATTCAACCTGCCCCCTCACACCCCCTGAGATATCTTTGGAAAGGACTAGAATATCTGATGCAGCATGCAAGTAGAATCCAACAGGAGGGTGGTGTTTGACAACAGCTGCCCCCTCCTCCATGCTGGGAGCAACGCCCCCTCCCAGCTCTGCTCGAAGAACCAGAAGAATCTGGAGAGGGGCTGTTGTGGGGGGAGGTTTCTGTTCACACTGATGAGATCAACAACACAGGAAACAGTGCATGTAAATATTACCACACACTTCAGTCAAACTGGATGGAGACTTTTACTGGATGGTCGGCAAATTTTATATAAATATGAATCAGGGATTTGGGTTTTTCATCCCTTGACCAGTTTGTACCCTCATGGGTACGAAATGAGGCCACATGCCAAGAGTCTCTTAGTACTTGCCTGATCACTGACGACTGAATGAAAATCAAGTATACATATATGTGTATGTATATATATATATATGTATGTATCTCTCTCTATATATATATATATACTGTATATGACAAGAGGTTATTTAAGCACAAGTGCAGAATGTTACTCATTAAAGGCAACTAAAATAACAAAAGAGAAGATGTGAAGATGGAAAAATAGACGTTTGCCAAATAAACTACAGCTTAACAATATTCTGCTTCAGTCGGCCATTTTGTCACTGTGAACCCCCACCTCACAAACAGCCATTACCGTTACACACCCATATATTTATGTATTTATTTATTTGTCCCTTTAACCAGCAACCCTACTCAAATTAAAACCTTTATCATTCATTCAACCTTTATTTGTACAGGTTAGTTTCACTGAACCACCAATTATCAGACTCTAAAACGTGTCTGTGGCAGCAGTGGCTGAGTGGTTAGAGCAGTCGTCCTCCAGTGCAGGAGTTGGGGGTTCGATTCCACCAGCAGTCACATGCCCAAGTGTCCCTGGTCAAGACACTGAACCCCTCATTGCTGATGTGTGTCCCATCGGTGTATGAATGTGATAAAAAGCACTGATTATTCTTTGTAGAGCTCTAGTAGAGTGCTTTATGAACGGGTAAATGAGGCACAGATTGTTGTAAAGAGCTTTGAGTGTCTGGATAAGATAGAAAGGTACAGTCCATATAAAGTGATCACAGGTTGCTCGAACTTTGAATTCTCAACCCGCTATTTCCTATTAATTAATCATTAATTTAAAGTCTTTTGTGCAGCAATTCTAATCCAGATCTTGTCCAAACTCCAACCAGATGAGTAAATTATAGTCGCTGTCAAGATGAGAGACCCCAGAATAAAGAGACCGACCGGCTGCTTTTTGAACCCGCAAATAATCTGGGTCAGACTGATCAAAACTGCACAAGTTGAAGAGAACGTATGAAGAAACTGGTACTCAGACTAGTACATCTTCTAAAGTTTGTTTTAAAACGGTACAAAACATTGCATAAGATATTTTGGGATGTCACACCAACAATGCATCGAGGCCACTTTAAAACACGTGCTTAGATTCTGGGGGTTCTATATTTAAAAGCTAAATAAATATTTGAAAAGTCTTTTGTGGAGTTTACTTTAGTGATGTGTTTATGGAATACTCAACGTCTGCTGATTAATCTGCACAGACGTGTTTAGAAGAAAAGCAGTGTCTGCACAGAACAATGGGGACTGTTGGTGATGCTGATGTGATCAAGGAGTCAAAATGGAGGAGGGGGGGAGGAGTCAGTGGGTGCAATTTACACATGGGTGTGAGATCCTGAGAGAAACTCTTTCAAATGCAAACAAATGAAACTTTTGGAAACAAGCAAACACGAGGGGGAGGAATTTCAGCTGCAAGAAAACTGATAAAACCGAAGAGAAAAGCTTCAAACGGACAGATCAGATCTTTTGAAATGAGGTTCTGTGAAAAGTTAAGGACAATAAATATCTTACCTGTTGCAGATGGCATTTTTAAGGAGCTTGGTTTGAAGAAACCAAGTTTAATTATGACTGGATTGAAGAACAAAGTCGGCGCAGATCTGAGACTCACGTGTTTTTTCTCAATATACATTCAGTCTTTTAAAATGTTTTAAAAAAGTTTATCTCAATGGAATTTATTTAACTTAACCCTGACATCATTTTTGCATAACACAACTATTTTAGCAGGAAAAAAAAAAGGCATAATGCCAGACGTGTCTGAGTCTGCACTGGAAATACCACAGCTAGCAATAATCTCTGAATCCATGCACAGAACTGTGTAATGCAAACTGGTCCTTGTTGTGCGCAAAAGTGCACAAATGATATTGTGGGGAAGACGCAGCTAAAAGCCAGTGATGGAGTGTAAAAAACATTTTGTTGTTTTATTTAAAACAGTTTTTATGTAGTTGTGCTTCACTTTATTAGATTTTTCAAGGGCTAGTTCACAAATCTACATTTTGTGTTTGTTGTATCCCAAAAGTTCATACAGAGATTTGAGCTGAATCCATGACTGTACTTCTACTTTTATACTTCAAGTACTTTGTACATTTGAAAGTGAGTACTAATGCTTAAGTAGACATTGATACGTTTAACGCTCGGGGTGTCTGCATGTCTCTATTACTTTCATTCTGAGATTTTGCTTTTGGAAACTTTAATTCCTCTTTTTCTGGATGTAAATCACTTTTTTATGATTGTTTCCTCTGGTATCGGATGCTGTGCAGCTGGAAGAATTTTACTGAAACTTTTTTTAGTTTTAGCCGTTTGTTATGATGCGTAACCATGGCACCAAGGTGGTTTTTTTTTTACAACTGGGACCAGCTACACCTCAAAAGCTCAAATAATATCTCAGTTACAGCCCCAAATCTCAAATGAGTTGAAAAGGAGGCACCGTAGATGCATTCCCGTCTCCTTGTCGGCTGTGCTCGAGTGCCTGACCACTGAGATCCTGGAACTAGCAGGAAGCACGGCTCGTGACAGCAGAAGCACAGAGATCGTCTTCTGGCATCTGCAGCCGGCTGTCCACAGCGATGGGGAGCTCGGCAGGCTGCTGGGAGGAGTGGCCATCGCTCTGGGAGGAGTTCAGCCCAGCATTCGGGCGGTCCTACAGCCGGGGGGAACCGAGAAGACAGCTGAGTCTGGGTGGACGGATCGAACGGCATCTAAAGCCAGTTTCTTTGGATCCACTGTGGGATGGACCTTTACAAGATGCCTACAGCCATCAGTATCTATAACATCTTTTAATGCAACCAGGATAACGAGCTACAACAACATTTAATTTCCCCTTGGGATTAATAAAGTATTTTTGAATTGAATCGAATTAAATATATTTCACGGAGGTAAAATATGTCAATCTATTTGTTCTTTCACCCAAGTAAAGTGACACCACTGCTGCTGCTGTGTTGTTCTGGACATTGTTTGTGTCAAAGTACCTGCTGGTTCTGCTGAAGAGGCGGGGGAGCTGACGGTCCATCCTGAGCAAAGTGGACACCTTGTGTGTTGAAAGGGATTCTTGAACAAACACGCTCACAGCAATGGATGAATGGCTAACTAGCTAGCTTGTTAGCCATCAAGACTAACATCCTAGCTTGTTGTCTGCACGCAGAAGATGAGGCGATGGTGTAAATATCCATGTTAAACATGAGCTCACGGCCAGTGATTGAATAAGTAAAATAAAGTCACAAAACATTCACTGTCTCTGCCACGATTTCCAAATTTGCTGTGACTGAGTCGAGGCCTCCTTCCTTCCACTGGTCAGAGACCACAAATCAAGTCAAGTGATCCGAGACCAACTGAAGATTTGGATTGGACAGAGAGCAACGTCAAGCATAAGATCATCTTCTTCACATTAAAAAAAAACCTCACATCAATAGCATCTGGTTTTATTTATTTTTTAATAAATCATTTAAAATGATAGCACCCAATGTGAGGAGGTGCAGACGCTTCTATGCTTGATAGCAGATGACAGAAATCAAAGATAAATGGTCAGACTCGGCTGAATACTTACCGGTACTCGACTTGTGTTCTGCCTTTCATACCGTGGATCAGAAGATTTTAGCCAACAGACCTCAGAATCATATTCAGTTATCTGGTTCTGTCCCCAGCTAGTTCTCATTGTGCCTGTCTGACCAAAGTTTTAATGTCTCTGTAAACGGGA